CCGACTAGATAGCCTTCTTTTTCATTGAATGGAGGCCTACTATCATGATCAACCTTTTAGGTGGTCACGGTACGGTGGTTTTTTTACACTTAGAACTTTCACTTGTGCAAAGGAGTTCTCACAAACATTGCAAAAGGTTCTAGACTTGGAATATTCTTGGCATATTTTGGACCCTTATGGAAGGTGCTATAGGTGTACATATAACTTTGATATTTATACATTCTAGAATAGTCTTGTGAAGTTCTTGGCCTATAAAAAACCTTCACCCCTCTCATTTTTATCATTCAAGCATTGACAATCATAGTGTTCATAAGTTTCTCTACACATTTTCTTTCTTTATAAAGCCTTTAGCTTTGTGGGTGTTTGGACAAGTTTGAAAGTGTACCTTAGTAGCAGACGGAGTGAGTTGCTAAAGGGTACATGGTTACTTTGATGGAGTAAATTTAACCCATGACATGTGGTATCAGAGCGATGGTCTTGGAAAACGGTGGGAATGGCGGGAGCTAACGACAAAAATGTTTCGGATTGAAACATTGGTGGCCATAATGGATGCAAGGACAAGCGGGAGACAAGGAGTAAGTCTCACAACGTCCTTGCTAGCTTAGACGAGCTGGCGGTCAAGCTTGAGGTTGTTGTTTGGGAGTCCTTGGAACGGTTGGACACTCTTGAGGCGAACATGGGCAAGGTCGAGAACACCGCCCTATGGGGGCTCTAGTAACTGAGGAGCTTCATACTTGAGTCACTTAATGAGTTGAAGGGCACCATGACGAAGGCCCTCAATGACTTGAAGGTGGAACTCAAGGCTATGCTTGCGGTGGAGATAGCTGAGTTGTGGAGAGAGACGGCCTTGCAGTTGGAACGTCTCAAGAAGGATCGGGCTCTATTCAAGGTGGCCTTGGACGGTGGTACAAAGTTATGGAAGGTGTTGTGCATTGAGGCTCCTGAACCTCCAAAGTATTCGTGTACGCGTACTGCTAAAGAACTTGAAAATTTCTTTTGGCCCATCGAGAACTATATAGATGCATCGGGCATAAAGGACAACGAGGACAAGTCAAGACAGAAATCTTGTACCTATCGAACAATGCAGGGTTATGGTGGAGAAGACACCATAATGACATTGCTCGTGGGATGGCCCGAATCGATACGTGGGAAAATTCACCTCCAACTTGAAGCAACAATTTTACTTGAAGAATGCCGATGAATTGGCCATAAGGAAGTTGCGTGGTCTAAAACATTCGGGGAGAATCAAGGAGTAAGTCAACGAGTTCACATCTCTTATGCTCGATCTTCCCCAAATGATCGAGAAAGATCAATTGTTCTACTTCTTGACGGGTTGCAAGCATGGGCAGCTATCGAGTTGAAGTGCCAGAAAGTCTAAGATTTGCAACAAGCCATAGTTTCGACCTAGGATCTTTTGGAGTTCCGATAAGACTATTCGGCCAATAAAGATAAAAATGTGGTCAATGAGAAAGGTGGGGGAGGCAAGCTCAACAAACCGGAGAAAAAACCGTTCTTCAAGGGCAAGGAGAAGACAATTGAGGCCAGTGTGAAGGAGCAGGGTTGTTCCCTTTACGGAGGGCTACACTTTGTTCGGGAGTGCCAGAACAAGAAAGCTCTCAATGCCACCACTGTAGTCCAAGAAGAGGAGAAGCCTGAGGAGAAAGATTGGGGGAAATGAAAATCCTCAATGCCATGACGGTAAAAAAGGAGATTTTTGTGGTGCCGATGGAAGAAAAGTCCTAGAGTGACCTTTTGTACGTCGAAACCAAAGTAAACAGATAAGGTAAAAAGGACTGGTGGACTCGGAAGCATCACACAACTTCCTAGCCAATTACAAGGCGGTAAAGATGAGCGTAAAGGTGACAAAGGAACTAGGATGGATGAAACCAACAAATGCAGCATTGAAGCCGATCATCAGTGTGGCCAAATAGGTCCCGATTCAACTTAGGGAGTGGCACAGTGAGTTGGACTTCACGGTTCTCCCAATGAATGACTACAAGGTAGTATTGGGCAAGTTCATAAAGGAGATCTCGGTGATCTTTCACAAGGCCAAGTCAATGAGCTTTACCGAAGGCAAAGTAATGGTCGATGTTTCTTTACGTAATGATAAAATTGAATCCCATGTTTTGTCAACTATGTAAGTGTCGAAAGGGATTAAGCAGGAGCACAAGAACATAAATTGCGGCCCTCAAAGAGGATGACCGATGGAGAGCCAAGATGTCCCGGAGGTGATCAATGGTGTGTTGGTTGAGTTCAAATACGTGATGCCCCCTGAGTTACCGAAGAAACTACCATCGAGGTGGGAGGTCAATCATGAGATCGATTTTGAGAAAGGGACAAGGCCTTCGGCAATGGATACGTACTAGATGGCTCCGCGGGAGTTGCAGTAGCTTTGAAGACAATTGAAGAAATTGTTGGATTCCGGCTACATCCGACCATGGAAAGCTCGCTTTCGTGCCCCTGTGTTGTTCTAAAAGAAGCAAGATGAGAGTCTCCAAATGTGTATCGACTATCGGGCGCTAAACAAGGTGACTATCAAGAAAAAATAGCCGATACCGTTGGTGTCAGCACTTGTTTTGACCGCTTATGGAAGACCAAGTGGTTCTCGAAGTTGGACTTGTGGTTAGGGTGTTGGCAAGTCCGGATTACGGAAGAAGGCGAGTTGAAGACCATATGCGTGATGAGGTATGGCTCCTTCGAGGTTTTGGTTATGCCATTTGGCCTAACAAATGCACTTGCTACATTTTGGACCTTGATGAACAAAATATTTAACCTGTTTTTGGACAAATTTGTTGTGGTGTATTTGAATGATATTTTAATATATAGCCAGTCTTTGAACGAGCATGTTGAGCACTTGCGGTTAGTGTTTCAAGCCTTGCGGGAGAACGAGCTATACATAAAGTTGAAGAAGTGCTTGTTTACTCAAGCGGAGATGATGTTTCTTGTGCACAAGGTGAAGCATGGAAAAGTCTTGATGGATGCCAAGAAGGTGCGAGCGACCGTCGAGTGGGAGCCACCCAAGAACATCTTCGAACTTAGGTCATTTCTTGGGTTAGGGACATACTAATGATGGTTCATTGCAGGGTACTCAGCGAAGGCGACGTGGTTAACCAATTTATTGAAGAATAAGGTTCATTGGGAGTATTTAATGCTAATTCATAAAAAAATTTGGGACAAAAAAATGGGGTATTGATTTATCGGTATTTTTCATGATCTTTGGTAGTACATTCCTACGGTTATTTCTATCCATTCACATACTCTTTTTTTGTTTTTTCTAGTTTCAATTCTAGGAAACTTTTGCTGCATTATTGTAATAATTATTTTATCCGATATAATTTTATATTTATTTTAATGTATCATGACTTTTTATAATTACAAGTACATACAATCATACTAAATTATTTTTATTAATATCATTTAGCTTCTTAGTATTATTTAATATAATATATCAATTATCATTTTTCTTTAGAGATTTAGAAGCATTTTATAAAATATAAAACAACTTTTTGTTTAATATATTTTGGTTTTTTTTAATGTATTTTTTTTAAATGAATAATATAAAATCATAAAAAGAAATAATATAGAATAGATTGCAAAAATTTAATTTATAAGTTTGAAGATAAAATTAAATATATTTAATATATAATAAAAAAATATCACAATTGAATTATAATATATTGTTGCGGATCAGTGTCGACCTAATTAAATAAGTATGGTTCTGATTTGTGGATTGTGTATTAATCGGATCAACATGTTATATAAAGGTAATCAACATACTTCAATTATATCATAATAATTTATAATAAGATTTGTTGTTTGATTTTTCAACAAAACAAAGTAAAAATCGAAAATATTATCGAACTTGAAATGAAAAATTTATTTGTAGCACAAAGTAGTGAATGCATGAAAACAAAAGGTGACCCCCAAAAGGAAATTTGCAATTAATTTTGCTTTGATTGAAGATCCCTTCCAAGAAAGGACCTGAATCTTTAAATATTATCTAAAGAAACGTTTTAAAACGTCGTCTGGTCGATTACAGCAACTGCCGTCAACCGCCCCCACATATTACTCCTCCACTGACATGTGTCTTAACCGTCTCACCAACCGCTCCCGCTAGTTACAGAACCTAACTGGCTCAGCCGACCGCCTCTGAACACCTTATCTCCTAAAATGGCCGGCTGGCCCAACCGACCACTTAGCCATCGATTCTCCTACCCAAAATAACCCTTGGCTCCTTGGACGGACGGAAGACCAACCGACTATCTCGAGAAACCCGTAACCGCCTGATAGGCCCAAAGACGGGCCCGCCTCTCCTCTTATTTTGGGCCATTTACCATAATTATAAATTTCATACTCAATAGCTTGCCCCGCCGCCATCGGACTTTCAAACGTCACTCCTTGATCGTCGTATGACAGGACGTTTGGAAGTTTGCAACCTATGTAACAGTGCCGGCCTGACTCTGTTCCCATTACATCAATGGGGTTTTAAATACCCCATTTTGCAATCATGACTCCTTATCTCTTTTAAAAACCTGTCCATCAACTTTGCTCATTTCACGCACCATCATCGCAAAATACTTTCCAAAACTCTCTTGTCTTTTTCGCTGGTATTTTCCCTTCTTCTCTGCAACTCGCATACCATGGCGAACCAATACGTGCCTGCAATCCCCTTTGACGGAACCGTCCCAGAAGTGTCTTTTGTTGCCACGAAGGTATTGACTCCCACCATCCGCCCATACTGTACGACTCTCGAAGACTCCAGTCGGATGAGGGAGGTGCTCGAAGCGGAAAACCCCTTCGCCGTCAACAATCCCAAATACAATGCTATCATAATCCATGACAGCATCAAAACACATTTGACGGATCCCAAGGATCCCTATCGTACTTGATACAACATGGTGGCAGAACACTTCCAGGAGCAGTGGAAACGCCAACAGATCGACCAGGTGATACTCCTTTCCACTTTTCCATTTCATTTGCACGATAAGGTGCTCCTGGCAATGGCGGCCTTCTGGAACTCAGAGATGGGTGTCTTTTTCCTGCCAACGGGCCCCATAGGCCCGACTCTCATGGATGTGGCCATGATCGCCCATCTTCCCGTCGTGGGTGAGGACCCTGTAATGGGAGTCCTTGATGGGCAAGAGCCGGAGGCGGACCATTTGGGCTGGTCCTTAGCTGGAATAAAATAATGGAGTTGGACCAAATTTGCGACCAACCAGCAAGGGGCAGTAGGGACCCCCGTGACCGACCGCGAACATGTCGCCTTCCTTCTCTTCTGGCTCTGTAGGTATGTCATAGTCTCTCCCTCCAAATGTGTTCTTTCTTCCCATCTTGACCTAGCTATTCATATAGCCTCAGGTCGTTTCTTTTCACTTGGCACCCTTTTCTTAGCCAATCTTTTTGAAGGTCTTTCTAGGGTGAGTTCCCGTCTTGTAGATAATGATAGTAAAAAATTAGATACTGCCGCGTCGGGTCCTTTTTGGTTCCTGGAACTTTGGTTCCGTCTTTATTTTCCTGACGCGTTCCAACTTGGCCGTCATCCTATTACCTCAACACCCGAGAAATATTTGGGATTAGCCCTTAACCGACTTTGCCTAGGCCATGGCAACCTCCAATCATCCGACCCCATCATAACCGCCATTCTAGCCGACGACCACAGAAACTCCCAATTTTACGTATATAGGAAGTATGCTGGCTATGCGTCTGGTCTTTTTTGGCCTTTTCCTGTGTCTTCACCCATGGCCGAACCTGACCCTCTTCCTTATCCGACCTATTCTTTCGCCTGGGATTCTGCCTTTAAACCCAGGTCCTTATTCGTTAGTAAAAAATTTGATAAAAAAGGGCCAAAAATCATTTTATACTTTTAGTTATCAGCATCAATTTTTGGCACGACAATTCCGCTGCCGCCAAGGCTTACCTGGTCCCATCGCCCGTCCTCACTTAATACCTTAGAGTCCGGATGGGCGGGTCATACCCGAATTGATTTCTTCTTACCTTTCCCAACTCACCACGTACATAACTTTCCATTCTTCCATTCCCTTCCATTATTCTCCGGAGACTGTTGAGACTTTCCGCGAATGGTGGTCGGTCACATGGGCCCTACTTGCCCCGGACAAAGATCGGTTGATGGATGTTCTCCTGCCCCAGCCTGCCTTAGTATTACGGGTGGCCCGACCTATCAGCGTCCGAAGAAAGATAGCCGCCCCGGGTGCCGGGTCTAGCACCCCAAAGAGGAAGAGAAAAGCTTCCCAAATCCAAACAGTCCTTACCTCCGGAACAGATCAGACCGGCGAAGACTTTTTGTCAGTTTGGATGCCAGTAAGGACCCGGTCCCGTCTAGGTATGCTCAAAAGTCTTAACTTATTCTAGTATTTCCTTAAATTTCTAACATATATTATTCTTACTATCAGGACCAACTTTGGCAGCACCGACCGTCCAACCGACTCTAGCCCCGGCCGACCCACCAAACTTGCCAGCCGATCAGCCCCAAGTAACCGACTCATGTTACTACTTTCCTTATATCTTAACAATTCTTGTACTGACCTATGCCATTCAATCGCAGGCTCTACCCATCCAAACACATGCACCATTACTTGCTCTGCCGATGATCAGTCGGGAGGAGGACCCGACTAGGAGGAAATATTTTCCCTCTCTGCCGATAAGTAGTCGGGAAGGTGCTCCGACCAGGAAGCAATCCTTGTCAGCACCACCAAGAGATCCGGTAACTTTCCTAAACACTCAATTTTCATAACATCAAATTTCATACTTGGAATAAGTATCTAACATATTCATTGTAGACGCCTTCACCACCCGAACCAGCGGTAGTAGGAGTCTCGTCTGATAGCGAGGCAACTGCCTCACAGATGGGCGGACTGCCAGCTGAGGCCGCGGACTCTTCCTTTCTTAGCGAGGAACCAATCGTCCTTTCTGCAGCCGCCCCTATCACGGCCGCTCTTGCTGCAACCGCCCCTATTGCGGCCGCTCCAGCTCCTGGAAATGTCTGGGGTGCGGCCCGCCCAACTGCTGGAAACATCCCACCTGCGGCCGTCCCAGCAGCGGCCGTCCAAGTCGCACCTGATTCGCCGGCCGCGGCCGCCCCAGGCGCGGCCATCCTGATGGCAGCCGTCCCAATTGCAGAGGCAGTAGGACGGGTAGCAGAACCACCTGCGGCCGTCCTGCCAAGAGGTCCCCCGCAAGACATAGAAGAGATTTCTTCTTCCGATTCGGAGACCTCTGTCAACCTGGTAGAATCTTCAGACTCCTCTTTCATTACTGAATACCAATTTCATTAAATACTTAACACTTCATACTTCAACTTTTAGGGGCCCAAGTCAGACCCGCAGCGACCTTTTGCAGCAACCGAAGAGTTGGCCATTGCGGTGCCAGCTGCCCGTCCTCCCCGACCGACGACGCTCCTCGCGCTCTCCATAACCACGGTCCGCCCGGAAGTAAGTAACCATAAGTCATCCTTAACATATTCTCTCCATGAAACCTAAACATTTGAACTCTCTCTTAGAGACATCTTGATCTAGCCCCTCTGTCGGCCATTCCGATTCTGGCGGATATTCAGGCCATCTTTGCTTAGGCCGTCAACCAAACTTTTCCCGACTTGAGGTCAGATTTCCTGGAAAATATTCTTCAGACGGTTGGTGGCCTTTTATTTCAAACCCCTTCGGAATCAGTGGACACCCCAATTCTGCATCGGCTGATGGAGATATTGACTGAACTTTGAAAAGACATCTTACTCGTCCGACTCCTATCAGCCGAACCATCCCAACCAAATTCGGATCAGATAAGTCTGGAGGCTTCCTTGGCCAAAACCAGGGAATCCCATCAGCAAGCCACTGAACGGTTGGACGAACTCCTCAGCGCCAAGACTCAAATAGATTAGTCAATCCAGAAGAATGAGGTAGAATTGAGGGCGCTTCGTCAAGAACAAACCCATCCTGGAGGGCCACGTGGCCGACGAGCAGCACCTAATTGAGCGATACAAGAAGAATGAGGCCGACTTGGATCAAGAATTAAAGATTCAAGCCCAGTCTCAATTTATCGGAAGATATCAGATGGCTGCTGACAACCGACGGCTGTCCAGGGCCGAAGATAAATGGTCCCAAATCAAAACTGCCCTGGGGGCCCTTTTGTAAATTTTTGTAAATTCTGACTTAGTAAACATTTTTTTGTTTCTCCTATCGACAAGGATCACTTTCCGTACTCCGAATCTCCAGGGACCAAATCAAGCTTACTTTCCTTATAAAAATCATTTTCCTTTGTGATAAAACAAACAAACTTCGAAAACAACCTAAAATTGGGACATACCTGAAGTATTAATTAAAATGTCACACAATCGACCTCATGTTCCTTCAAAAAATTGTGAAGGTGTCATTTAACCCTTCTTTGTGGGTAATCATCTCGCCGGTGGCCATGCTGAAGACTTGTTACACATACTCAAACAACTGGATTTCAAATTCAGATTTTCCCAACGAGGAAGAACGACCATTCATCGTGTTATTGGCCTGATGGAAAACGTTCTGGGAGGATATGAAACTCTCCGTGATATCTTAAGCCGCATTCCTGATATTGATCACCATATGGACTTGATTGAACATCACGTGACATCCATACTTCCAGACCTTGGTTGGGATCATATATTTTCCAATCAGCGCACAGTCTTTTCAAGACTACGCACTGTTGTTGATCGTGAATGACAGGCCATAACAAACATGAAAGCTTGTACTAATCACAACTTAGAAGAAATGAAGAATTAATGGGAACGATACCGACCTGATTTAGAAGACCTTCTTGATGATGAACCAAAATTAATTTCTAATCATTGGGATGAAGATTCTGACTCAGAAAAAGGAGGTCCCCCGCACATATCAATATCTGATAATGAATTAACCCCATTTTGGGTCCGAACCCCCCATGTTTGGGTTCTGAATAAAATTTCTTGTTTCATGCATTCTTCTTATATGAAAAGGCGCAAAAATACCTCTTCAGATATTTAGCATTAATACAACATGTACTCTCTTACCTTCTTGATTTATTATAATAAAGGCACCATTTCCAACTTCCTTATGAATAATAAATGGCCCTTCCCAGTTTGGAGACCAGTTTTCTAATTGATCGATCTTCTTATACGTAGGAAAAATGGTCTTCCAAACCAAATCTCCTTCTTTGAAAGTCTTATAAAGGACTTTATTTCCATAAGACTTTGCCCTGATTCCATTATGCTTTACAATTTAATCGATTGCATGAAGTCGGTTAATATCCAGACTTTCCAATTGCTGCAACATAACTTGCTGATATTCCTCAGTAAGCTCTCCAGTAGTAAAACTTGTACGTCCAGATGATACCTGAATTTCGGTTGGTAACACAACATCTTGCCCAAAAGTAAGTTGATATGGTGAAAATCCCGTGGCCGAACTTCTACTATTACTGTGTGCCCATAACGCCTGAGGTAACAGAAAATTCCACTTTCTTGGATTCCCCTCAACCATCTTCTTTATTATTCCAATAATAATCTTATTGGCCGCCTCTGCTTGTCCATTAGCTTGGGGATAGTAAGGCGAATAATGATTTATCCGAATATCAAACTCTGCCAAGAAGCTTACAAATTTCTCCCCAGTGAAAACTAAACCTTGATCGGTGGTTATAGAATGAAGAATACCATACCTATAAATGATCTGATTCAGCACAAAATCAATCATCTCTTTTTTATCCACATTTTTTAAAGCAACCGCCTCGACTCATTTGGTGAAATAGTTTGCTGCAACCAAAATAAAACAATGATGTTTGGATGAAGGGGGATGTATTTTGCCAATGATGTCCATGGCCCAGGACTTGAAAGACCATGGTTTACCATAGCTTGCAACTCAGTAACTGACAAGTGATTCAACTGTCTGTGCTTTTGACATTCTTGGCAACCTTTTGCAAATTGTATACAATCTTCGAAGATCTTTGGCCAAAAGAAACTCAAACGATTAATAGCCCATCTCATATTCAAGCCTGCTCGACGAGCTCCACAGATCCCACTATGTACTTCTGTCATAACTTCCAAAGCCTGTTTAAATCCTAAACATTTTAAAAGTAACCCTTCGAGCGTCTGTTTGTATAGAACTCCTATCAATTGGAATCGTAGAGCCTTTAACCGTACCCCTATCGGCACATTTGCTCCTGGATTTTGTAGATACATAACAATTTCTGCCCTCCAGTCGATCCCATCTTCTGTTTCCGACTCGTCTTCTGCACAAATCTCTTTCGGGATTCCTTTACAAGCTTTTTGAGCTAACTCATCTGCAAGTTGGTTTTCCTTCCTAGGGATGAACTCAATTATCACCTTTGATATTTTTTATAACAAACGATATACAATATCACTATATCTGTGTAGATGAGGATAATTGCAAACATATTGTTTGGTTACCTGATTGATTACCAACTGAGAATCTCCTCTTATGATCACCGAATGAAAATTCCTGGCTATTAAAGCTTCCAATCCCAAGATTAAATCCTCATATATATTCTGCCGAATTATGGGTCATAGCTTCTAATTGCAGCTATAATTTGATCTTTTGGCCATCTAGTCCTTTTAACAAGACCCCTGCACCTGATCCATTTCCAGAAGTAGAACCATCAAAAAATATTGACCAAGTTCGGGTACTCACATAAGATATGCATCCGATCTGTTCTTGATTATATCCTGAGAATTTTGCCAAAAAATCTGCTATTGCTTGACCTTTAACTGCCTTTAACGGAGAACGTTGCAAATCAAAAGAGGCCAACTTGATGGGCCATTTCATAAGTCTGCCTTGCATGGTAGGTCTTTGCAAAATTAATTTGATAAGATCTACCTTTGAAATGACTTCTATTCTCCTAGGCAGCATATAATGCTCAAGCTTGGTGCATGCGAACACCAATGAGTAACATATTTTTTCTGGCATAGTATAATTTAGTTCCGGTCCTGTGAGAGTCTTACTCAAATAATAAATCGCCCTTTCTTTCCCATCATCACCATCTTGTGCTAGTAAGCAGCTGACCACTTCGTGTGTATTGGCCAAATAAAGCTTGAGGGGCCAAACTTCTTTATGAGGCATTAAAACTGGAGGTTGAACCAAGACTTGCTTTATAGTATCTAATGTTGTCTTCTGGTCTGGTCCCCATTCAAAAGCATCCGTCCTAGCTTTTAAGAACTTAGTAATTGGCCTAACCTTTCCAGCAGCATTAGAAATGAATCTCCTTAGATAATTTACCTTGCCCAAAAGACTTTGTACTTCCTTAACCGTCTTGGGTGATCGGATGGATAGAATCACTTTGGCTTTGTTGGCATCGATTTCAATTCTCCTTTCATGCACCAAAAAAGCTAAGAAACTTCTAGTTGATATGCCAAAAACGCATTTAGTTGGATTCATTTTCAGCTTGTACTTCTTCATTCGGTTGAATGCATCTTTTAGATCTCTCAAGTGTTGCTCGAAACTAGAAGATTTGACAATGACATCATCAATATAAATTTCCATAGACTTGCCAATGAGGTCATGAAAGATCGAATTCATGGCCCTCTGATAAGTTGGCCCTGCATTCTTCTAACCGAATGGCATAACTGTCCATTCGTAAATACCTAAAGCTCTTGGACACCTAAAAGTTGTCTTATGAATATCTTCTTCTGCCAAAAAGATTTGATTGTAACCTGCATAACCATCCATCAGACTGAGGATTTTTATGTCCTGCTAGTGAATCAACCAGCATATCGGCCATAGGCATCGCACATTCGTCCTTAGGAGTGGCTATATTAAGATCCCGGAAGTCAATACATATTCTGATCTTACCATTCTTTTTAACTACTGGTACAATGTTTGCCAACCATTCTGCATAACGGCAGGGCCGAATAAAGCCCACTTTAAGTAGTTTCTGGATCTCTTCTTTGATTTGAGGCATCAAATCAGGACTCATACGCCTTGGAGACTGCTTGTAAGGTTTAAAACCTTCTCTAATAGGCAACCGATGCTCTATAAGACTTTGTTCCAAACCAGGCATTTCTGAGTAATCCCAAGCTAAACAATCAATATTATTCTTAATAACCTCAAGTATTTCCATATGTCGCTCTTTAGACAAATAATTACTTATTCTTACCATTTTCGGAACCAGGTCGGTTCCTAAATTGAATTCCAACAAAGGGTCTTGAGCTGAAAAGGTTGGTTCTGTCTTTTCTAACAAATCTGGCCACCGAAATTGTTCATCTTCCTGATAATGAACATCATACATCTTTCTAATTTTTTCTGCCTCTTTTAAAAGCTGGTTTAAGTAAAACTGATTAATAAGTAAACTACAATCTTCCAAATTTGTACTATCCATAAAAGATATATTGTCAGATAGGTTTGGCTTTCTTACAGCCATACATGAGGGTTGTTCTTTTTAGAAGAATATAGAATTCTGGCTTCTTTGGGTATTCACTAGCCATAAATGCCTGAGACATTGGAGGTAAATGACTGGAATAAAACACTGACTCCTCAGCCTTTTCTGATACGCCAAAAGGGTTGTCATTTGCTTCTATTTTAAAGACCTGATTACCCTCCCAAAACATTAATTACTGAT